GAGGGAGAGAGAGAGAGAGAGGGAGGGAGGGAGGGAGGTGGAGAGAGATAAAAGATTAAAGTACAGTGGCTTAGAAGATCACCCCTTTCCAAATGAAAAGATAAAAAAGAAATTAATTTTAAATAATAGATAATGAAAAAAATGGGAAAAACATGAGGTGACCAAAACTTGATGATCATAATAACTTTTAAGGCAGATTGTGATCACAGGATTGATTCGTGGACTTCGGTAAGTTATGACCATGCATAGTATAACTGTTATTGTATTGTTGATTCAGTTGCCAAAAATTGTACTTTGACTCGGTCAGGAATAAGTTTACCAATTTCCTTTCCATGCTTTGTTTATCTTTAAAGAAAAAAGGAAATTCAAGAAAGACTGAAATAGAACAGAGTCTGGAGACTGTCTTTGATCTTTTGATCTTTGTTGTGTTTAGAATCTTGTTATGATTTTTCAGGAGAGGGGATTGAGAGGGAATAGTGTAAGATTCTTGCCCCTTCTCATGTATTTATTTCTTTAAAAAGCTGAATAACCAAAGGTCAAAAAGAATTGGCGTTACAAGATTTTAAGTTATCTAAACCTGATTTGCACATAGTTGAAAAAAAATGTTGAAAAAAAAGTAAATGAAAAATAGGTATTTGATTATTTTACTGAAAGTTACCACATTAAGTGTCTCGGAGAGGCTCTAAAGTGCTGTAATGCACCACTTGGCAAAGAAATTGTGGAATTGAGTGAAAGGTGATGCCAATAAAGAGTATAGAAAAGAATCCCAGACATTTCCTACCACAGGTCTTTGTAATGTCTTGAAGTGGCAGTGACTTGAAGGGGAAAATAAAAGATTTTGTCCTTGAGGCAGTTTTTTTTTTTTTTTAGCATATTCTGCTCTGACGATAACTCTGAATACAAAGTTGTGATGTTATTCTTTCGAAAATGTTTTCATAATGGGAATAATGCTTTAACTTTTTGATAATTTAAAAATGATTGGTCCATGATTAAGAATTTGGTGTCTTTTGAAGATTAGAAACTACATGTAATTTTATGGAAAAAGAAGTGTTAGTGTGTGTGTGTGTGGGGGGGGGGGGGGTCTTCATTCAGTAATATCAGAAACTCTCCTGACCATGCTTTCTGTGTATTTCATGGTTTGATCAGACAAGAATTATGTTAGACTGAAAACTGGGCCAACTGGTAAAATGAGATGACTGGTTGACAGAGGGATATTGTTGCCCCTTGGCTTCTTAAACCCCTGTATCTCAACCTGTTGAATTGGCAGTGTAAATTTGTCCAATGTCAGACCCAAAATACTGGTAGTGTGTCCAGATCTTTTGTGTCTAAGCCTGCTGGGGAGATTCATCCAATGTGTGCTATACTTAGAATTAAAGCCAGGATACTGGTGTTAGCCTGAGACTTTCAAAATTCAGTTGTTTTCTTTTCATTTAGGCACAAGTGTTTTTTATTTGACAGTTATATATGCAAAGGGGTGCTGTCAGAAATGGTGATATTCCACATAGTGTCTGTGATCAACATTGTGCTCTTTTGAGATTTTCCCCCTTCTTGACTTTTCCAGATCAGTCTGCTATATTGTGTACTGTTTTACTGAACATATAGATGTGCAAATTAGACCTTTGACTGCAGTGATGTGTATATAATTTAGCATATATATTTATTCTTTAATAGACACATTATTTCTTTACAAGATCTTGTTTGAGAAATGATAATAGTACATTTTTGCATAATTTTAGATTGTTATTAATCATTTGAATTTAATTTAGATTGTATTGGTATCAATAAGTTATAATTATATATAGAATGTTTAAAAATTATTTTTATTATTACTGTATAATATAATGAAATGTGATGTCATATAAAACTTTGTGTTTCTTTGCAGGGACCAAGTGGAGGACCACCTCAGTATTATTCCACATATCCCCCATATGCAGGTTATACTGCAGCCCACGCCATGGGAGGGGCGCCAGCACCCCATCACCCGGGGACCCCCTCCCATCAGTGTAACAGTAGTCACACACATGGACCACAAGGTGAGTGCCCCCCTTCCTCACCACACACACACACACACACACACACACACACACACACACATTTTTTTCCTTTCTCTCAGACCTTCAGACACCTTACCATAAAATAAAACACGAGCACCGTCAACTTCCACCCACCCATCAACCCATCAGGGTCATGCACTTGCATTAACATACCCTTTGATACAGTGAGCAGTTCAGCACGCCTCCCTTGTTTCTCTCGTTGTGTTTTGCCTGTGATACACACTTGCATGCTCACACATCACGCATATTTCACTCTATATCCTCTCTCCAGGAAGCTGCATCACAATAGGGTCATGACAGTTATGACTGGAGATAAACTTTGAAGTCCATACTTATGAGCTGTGATGTCTATATCACTAAGACTGTGGGTAATACATTTCCATATATAAGCATATGTTATGGAACTGGGTTGGACTACATGATGTCTGACATGTATTTTCAAGCTGTAAGACTACCAAAAGGAATATGCTAGTTTAAGACTGCTTGAGCAATAAAATGCTAAGAAGTGATATTTTTCTCTCCTGAGTCTAGTTGTCTTACAGAGACTTTCTTTATGCAAAAAATAAATAAAAGTAATAAATGAATAAAAAGACTTTCGTAACCTATTCTTGTTTCAAAAGAAGGGCTCAGTGAGATAAAGTAAAATCCAACAGTTGTCTAGATGGCTCTTATAATGATGATTAAGATGGTTTTAAATGATAATAGCACATAATGATGACTGTGTCAAACCTCTTCATTCACAACTTCTTAATTAAAAAAAAAAATTAATAAATTCTCATTTGTCTTGATTTTTCTTGGGATTTGTAAGCAGTAAATCTGTTTTTGTGAATAAAGCTATTAATTTAGAACTCCAAAATAGTAAACATAGGTAAAAGCCTAAAAAATACATGACTGTACGTTACATAGGTTAATATTACAGATCACCAAAATCAGTATTCCAGTAGGAATGTAACAGCATTACTATGGATTACATGATATTTCTGACATTTGAGCAATTTAGTGTCTGCATGATATACCAGACATCTCCAGTAGAAGACATGTTTTCCCCATGGATAGTTTTCTCGGGTGCCTCTGCCTTTGCTTCTGCCTCCGTCTCTCTCTCTCTCTCTCTCTCTCTCTCTCTCTCTCTGTGTGTCTGGTTTTTTCCTTCTGTGTACCTATTTAGCACTGAGTGACATATACCAGTTCTGTCAGTAGAACTGATTTGTGACATGTTGGCAGTGCTGGTAATTCAGCTCACTAGGTGTACATGATTTGGGACATTTTGGGGAAGTTCGTTCTGCAATTTCGTTCATTTCCTCTTCATTTTTGGTCGGAAATGTTTCCTCTTGAAAATAATTGAACCAAATTTGCTATTTTAAAAGTGACCCTGAACTATGGTAAATGAATTATGTTTTTTCTTCTTTTCGACTTTTTCTTTATTTCCTTAATTTAAGGATAAACAAATTTAGGTCTAGTGCTTTGCTAGCATGTATTTCTGTTTCCTCAATTTAGGTAATGTTTCTTTGGTTTTGTGGCATTTGTTGTTTATTGGAATAGTTTTCTGTAATGAGGTACATTTCACTGTTATTGCATAAGATTTCTTGAGATAGCCAGGTCCCCCTAGCGAGATGCAATCTTGAACAAAAATTGACTTTACTTTTAAAATGTGATGCCATGTTACGTACACTCCTGTGTCAGGCTAGATAAACGTCACAGTCGCTGATTTCAAAAATGCATTTGAAACCTCATTTATACAAAGAGGGGAAATTGAAAAAAAGAGAGAGACGAAAGAACAGAGCTTCTGCTCACATGAGATACATGACTGGTATTTCTGTTATGTGTCAGCCTTGTGCATTTGTTTAAACTGTGAAATGTATGTTGTTTTATTAATGTCAAGTGATACTCGCCTGTAAAGTCATCAGCTCAGAGAGAGGATACAAGCCTACTGTCATTAAGAAGACTCGAGTCAAGTGACAAAGTTGGGCCGTTCCTGGTCTTATATTTGAATACAGCAGCCCTAGTCATAAAGTTGATTGAAATTCATCATAACTTATTGCAGTAGAGTGCATGACATAGTTTTGAATATGATACACTGCAGTCAACATTTACTTCTTGACAAAACAATGGATGACTCTGTATTGGAACAAAAGAAAACTTCCAAGAGTGTTTCCAGAGTGCTCATATTACAGCTCCTCAGTTCCTCAGCCAGTGAACATGGTTTTTTGAAATGTGAATTATGTTGGAGTCATCTTTGGGTTGACAACGAGAATGTGATCTCTGTATCCCAGCCCTTTAAAATCACTAAAATAATTGTGTGGGACTCCCATAACTACTTAATCACTGCATTGCATCATGTATTTCGGTGCATTAACCCACTGCTAAACAGCCCGCCTGTCAGCACAAGAGTAGATTTGAGTATTTGTTCAAGATGAACTTGTTTCTTGAAGAACTTGACTCGTCACGCCCATTCGGAAATAAAACTTGATCTTTTGTTAGGGTTCACATGTCATTGCATCCACCTTTTCATTGTTACATCTGCCCAGAACCAGTCACACCTAAAAGTATTTTGTGTTTGGCTCGTACGTTAACATGACTTCATACTTACTATAGAAATAAAAAAATTTACATCACTAGGTATCAGATAAATGGATGCAGGATTTTAGTTTGGAGTTTGGTTAAGGGGTTTAAATGGTTTATTTAAGCTGGATATCAGATGATGTAATTTTTCCATCCAAGTTAGGTTTTGTATGAACGTGTTTGTTATGCCCATTTACCCAAAGACACTCTTACCTTGTCCAACACACTCGCACCCCTTTTTGTAATGTTCTTCATGGTCATTTTCAACAGATTGTAGTATTCAGTCTTGATGTCTTTCAGACTTGTGTTTTCAAAAAAAAAAAATAATAATAATAATTACTGGGAATATGGATAATATATGATATTAACAGTAGATAAAAAAAAGGTTGAAATTAATGCTTCCTAGTATCAGACTTTTATTTTCCATTGGTTTTTAGGTTCTCTTCCACCGCACCCCAATCATTCTTCACAAGTAGACGACAGGACGCAAAGGATGAAAGAACGCTTACAGAGAAAAGTACACACAAGGAGGAAAAACATAAATTGTTTTAATAATTACAGTCCGTCTAGGACAAAAGGTGAGTAGGTATTGTTGGAGGCTGTAAAGAAAACAGACATGGGAAAAATTTGAAAAAAATGCCCCTAGCGGTTCACCCCAGTTAAGATTTTTCACTCTAGGTATTGGTCTATTTTCTACGTGTTCTAATTGATTGACTCCATTTGTTTTCAGGGGTTAGAGTTAAGTATTTTTTAAACTGTTATGTTTGCACCCCTGCTGTAGAGGGTAGGTCGTAGGTGTCAGTTTGTCTTTAAAATATGACGCAACTTCAAAGGCTGGCTCATTGAGGGGAGGAACGTAAAATGTCAGATATGCGGAGAGAATGCCCAGACTGTGACATATTTATAGCTGTTTAGTGATATTGGAAAAACGTGAAAAAAAGGTGATGAGAACTTTAGAAAGAAAAAAAGAATTATTCTGTCATTTAGGTTTGGATTAGGTGAGGGTGTTAGAATATTAAAAAAAATAATAATAAGTGAGTAAGATCAAAATGAAGAAAAAAAAGTCTGTAAATTAATTGGCAGGTAGAAGCATTCCTCACAGTTCAATGCTCTGGCATGGCAATGATTGCTTGCCAAATATATCCCTTCATGTGTGTATACAAGTGGAATGTTGCATGTGACAGCAGTTTTCTGGTGTTACGTGAGCTGCTGTAAGATCTGGGTGGTCTGGCAGGTGGGCCTGCTACAATATATTGAACATACACCGAATGCCAGATGTAGCCACTTGCAGATAGACAGAAAGGGAGAATGGACGGAAGGAAAAAAAGGTTAAAGGAAAGAATAGAGATGTTGAAGCAGACTGACAGACAGACGGACAAGCATACAGACAAGTACATCATCAGCAGCTTAACTGATTGATAGCATGATGGACAAATTAAAAATTGAGAAAGATTTTAACCTTTATTATTGAATTAAGTTAGAGGGGGGAAGAGCAAGAGGGAGAAAGAATACAGAGAAAATATAGTGGGAGGGGGACCAGTGAATTATCAAAAAGGAAGTAAAAAGAGAACATAAATCTCTGTGGGTTGGTGCGTGTGGTCTATACAAGGTAGCCTAAATCAGTTACCTATGTCCCGAACCCTGCTGCCCTGAGTTGAACCAGCTGGTAGTTATCATAGGGTAACATGTTTCTAGGTCTCACATTCCCTCCTCTTTAATAGAAATGTCCCGATAACATCTCCGCACAGGGTTGTTTCTTCCAGACTGTTTGTTTCACTTTTCAAGTTCAACTTGGGAGGGTTGCCTTGTCCTTAAAGTCACTGGTTGATTTAATTGAGTAGCGTGGAATGGATCTCCTGTTTGTCCCCAACTGCAGTGTAGAGATACGTCTACAAAGAACTGGCCTGCCCTGAGGCTACTTGAGTTGATAAATGACTGCAGTAAAAAGGACTGTTTTCTAAAATGTAACTCATTTTCTTTTCAACTTTTAATATTTTATTGCAGTAAACAGTGACCTTGGAAAGGCAATTTGAATACATAAAGCTGATGTGTTTATGTACAGTGCTTCATCATGTCATTGTAGTAAATGATGACCTTGGAAAAGCTAAATGAATACGTAAAACTGATTTGTTTCTGTACAACTTTTCATCATGTCATTGTAGTAAATGATGACCTTGGAAAAGCTAAATGAATATGTAAAACAGATTTGTCTCTGTACAACTTTTCATCATGCCGTTGTAGTAAATGGTGACCTTGGAACAGCCACATGAATCCGTAAAACTGATTTGTTTCTTTTCAACTTCTCATCATGTCGTTGTAGTAAACGGTGACCTCCGCAGGCACGATGCTCACAGCAGCTCTTCTAGTAATGACGGGAATGAAGGAGATGAAGAAGCACGCACCATACAAGATATCCTCTCCAGGATGAAGGAACCCAAGGTAAAGAAACATGTACAGAGGGGGAGGTAGAGGGAGACATCTATTTCATGGTTCAGAAGTTAAAAAAATAAAATGAAATAAAAATTTCCATTTTCCACGTTGAAAAAATTAAAGATCCACTTTCCTTTCAGAGTACAAGCTTTTGACTTTTGGTTATTGTGTTATTTGCAAGTTCAAAATTTACTATCCTAAATCATTATTGAGAACTCTTGGTAACAGCTGATGAGATTTGAGATCTTTGGTTATGAATATTAAGATTTTGAAAAAAAAAGATGAGAGGATAAAGGCAGCATTTATATATTCATTTATTTTTCACTTGTATACCATTGCATGTACACCATTGCTTTAAAAACACTCCCAGTAGTTTGGATTTGAGAAGTTGTTTGCAACACTGAAGGAGTGGCAAGGCTGAAGTGATATGCCCCTTAATATAAGAAATCATCACAGTGACTCTTTTACATGATTTTTAAATGAAATGCTTTTCTCATTCTAGGTGTCCAATATAGACTCCAGAAGTGCCTTGATCGAGGTCATTCCACCAGATTGCTCGCAGATTGAGCTGGACTTGGAGATCAACCCAGCTGAATTTCGCTACGAGCTTTTTCTGTCTGACAAGTCAAAAGATGGCAAATACAAAATGGTGTATTGGTGAGTGGGTTTGAATAGCTGATGATGACTGCCATGGCCACAATACTGTGGAACATGTCAGTAGCACAGTTTGTTGTAATGTTGATATGACATAATGTTTTTGGTTGTTGAGTAGATTTTAAAGCTGTCTATTATATAGGTGATGCCTGTTTAATGGTGAGATTAAAGGGATAATAACTCTTCGTATGAGATCTATATTTCACAATAAAAACATTGTGAATAACTCATAGAAATATAATATATTCTGTTTTACCACAAAAATGGCAGTTATAGCTATTTTTTCTGATATCTGAGCTTGTCTTTAAACACGTGACCTCCATTGATGACTGTACTCTGTTAAAATCTCTTAAGAGATTTTAAGAAAAAAACAAACTTTTTAGAAAAAAACCAGGGAGTAACTTTGAATGTAAAAATGGATTCATTAACCATTGGTAAGTATGGGAAAATTGTTGTTTACTCCAGGAAAATTCATTTTTTGGCCGAAACAAAGAGTTATTATCCCTTTAAAATTAAATTTCAATGTGTTAAAAGTGGTGAAACTACGTGTAAGACAGCAGCTTATCATGTTTGGTTTTATTTCAGTGGTGATGCGACAGAAATCACATTAAAAGATCTGAAACCGGCCACAGATTATTTTGTGAGGTAAGTTAGCTTTGCAGATTGCAGTTGGGTTTACTCAAAGTTAATGTCAACTGACTGTTTTTTTTTTTTTGTTTTTTTTTCCTATTCTAATATCCTTTTGTTTTGTTGTAATGGTCATGTTTTTGGCTTTTGCTGCAGGATCAGCTCTTTGCTGGACGACCTCAAGGGAGAGCCCACGACACCAGTGAATTTCCGCACCTCTGTCTGCGAGCCAGAGACACCTGAGAAACCCAAGCTGTCTGGGAGGACGAAGACTAGCATTACACTAAAGTGGAATGTAAGTAGTCAAGAACTTAAATTAAAAACAAATAAGTTTATGAATTTTATTTATAAGGGATTTTATTTTTAATATGTTGATGATTTTAGAGAAATGTTCTTATAAGAACAGGAAAAGCCATTGAGATGATTTTGTAACTTTGTTTCTAAATATTTTTATTCAGATTTCTCTTATGTTTTATTTTTAATTTTTTAGGCTGTGAATGACAATGGTGCAAAAATTTCCAGTTATTGTTTAGAATTTGACCAGGTGAGCTCTTACTATTATTTTTAAGTAAAGAACCATTGATGATGCATAGTTCATGAAGGATTTAGCTTGTTTTTTTTTAAGTATTAGTAATTCCATAATTAAATACAATTTAATCAGAATTTATCATGTTTATTAACAAGTGTGTATCTTTCCTATGAATTGCAGGGCAAAGGCAATGGTAGATTTGTAGAAGCCTACAACAACGTCCAGCGCCAGTTCAAAGTGTCCAAGCTGACCCCAGCCACCGCGTATGTGTTCAGGTTAGCCGCAGTGAACTCTGTCGGGAAGAGCGACTACAGCGAGCCAGTCTGTTACTGCACCAGCGGCAGTGTACCTACACAGCCAGACCCACCCATGCTGTCTGAGCAGTTTGTGACGGCACTCGTCGTGTCCTGGATAAGACGGCCCAACGATGATGAGTTCACGTTACACATGGAGGACGAGTTGTCTGTGAGTGGGAAATATGATATGAAATAAGTTATAATGTGAAACTTCAAGCTATAAAGAATACAGAATTAAATGGATAAAAAATATATGTTAGCTTTGCAAACTGTTACAGCAAACTTTGTGCTCTCAGTACTTGGATTTACAGATCTTCATTTGACAAATTAAAAAAAAAAGTTTATTTTAAAAAAAGCTTTGACATTTATTAGTCTAGGTCTTACAAAGATGATGAGTTGCATGTATCAAATTGAAAATAATTTGATATTTATGGCTGAATGATTAGAATCTGCATGAATGAATTAATGTTTTTAATGTGAGAGTGGCAAGCTTCAAGGCATTTTAATGTCATTCCTGTGACTGTCAGAAATAACATTAGTATGACTCCAGAACGGAAGAACTACAGATGATTGAGGGAAGTTATAACTATATATTGTACCTTTTTTTGATTTCAGGGCCATGGTTTCATTCCTATTTTCAATGGTCCAGATCTGTCTTTCAAAGTGTGCAACCTTAGGCGGAACACAGAGTATAAATTTAAGGTTGGTTCTCACAGTACAAATTCAAGTGGTGGTGCTTAGTATTGAAATTAAAAGTCAGTTAACAGTGCTGAATGCAATAGATATGTACACAGTATAATTCTAATGTCAGTTAGAAGAATATGTTTGATGTAGGCATGATAATGAGCCACAATTGATAACACTGTACATTTCTTAAAGCCACATTTTCACAGCCTTTCATACAAAGCTGGGTTTTGGTGGTACAGTTGATATGGTTAAAGTTACAGAGTTTAGAGGCAGATACTTACAATAGGATACCTCTGACACAGATGTGTCTTAAAACAAGTGAAGTTTGAGAGTAAATGGCCTAAAGGAAATATGTTACCTGTGTTGACACACAGTTACAAACATATCTAGCAGTCTGTGTTAACAATATTGCTCTTGGTCGTCCAGTTATGTGCCAGAAATGAAGAAGGGAGTAGCAAGTTCTCTGATGTAGTCAACTACAGGACCCTCCCTGACCGGCCTGGACCCTGCGGCAGGCCCCAGACCAAGGGGAAAGTGCATTCAAACAGCTTCAGGGTGGTCTGGGGTAAGTACTCTGCTGGTCTGTGCATGCATGTATATTTGTGTGTGGGGGGGCATATGTGTTTGTGTGGGTGTGCATGCGTATATGTGTACTAGTTATCTACATCACAAGAAGTTCACTGCATACAATGCATAATGACAAATTTAAGAAGTATGTCTTAACTGATAATTTTTCTCTGTTTAAGCTAAGAATGTTTGATGTTTGAAGTATTTTATGAAATATATATGTGGTTATTACCCTGGACTTCCTGTCTATTGTAGATCACCCCAAGGACAATGGAGGTTCAGAGGTGACCAAATACATTCTAGAGATGGATGAGGGGAGAGGTATGCTTTTTCATTTACGTCTACTTTTTAATACTGGACTAATGTTGTATCATCTTTCTTAGTTATGAACATTTTCTGATGAAAAAAATGTCAATTTTATGTTATTTACTGAATTGTAAGTTTTACATTTTCTTTTGCTAATTTGCCTGTTTAGGAGATGGTAAATAGATAATCATGAATGTTGTGAGATTGTTGTTGTTGGTAATGCTTAATGCCAAGTGTTCCACCTACCCTCCTGTCCCCAAATGTATACATATATATGTACCATCTCTCTCTCTCTCTCTCTCTCTCTCTCTCTCTCTCTCTCTCTCTCACACACACACACACACACACACACACAAGGATCAACTGCTTTAGTTGTGAGACATTGTTTTTTATTATACATTTAATGTTACCTACCTTTGCTTATCTATGGTTTCAATTATTTCATAGTGATATAGCTTCTAATATGATATCTTTTGAAATATGTGTAACAATTGTGTGTCACATAACCTTAGTTCTTCAAACCAAACATTGGAGGCAGGATACGTCCAGTCTCCCACTTACTCCCATCCCCCACCCCATTCCATACTCCACTTCATTCCCCCCCCCGGATCTGTCATTATATAGTATGAGAATGAGGGTTTTGTCCCATGTGAATGGAATAGATATTTTTTTTTTAGCAGATGCACATTTGTATTAAAATACAATAAATTAGTGGAATTTCGTGATAGGTGTTGTTTCTTATTTGTTGGTAAATAACTGAGTTTGTTTTGCCCACTTGTCAGGCCTCGCTGACTGATATTTTTTTCTTGCTACTTTTTTTACTGAGCCATACCTGTATTGTTTGCTGTTGACTTCAGCTACATTGTATTTCATTATACATTTATAAGTTTAATTAAGATATCTTATTTAAGTGAAAATTATTCAAAAACAAGGAACACACACCCATGTGTGTCCAAGCTTACACGTGCACACACACACCTGCAGGCCCTCGACAAAAGATATAAATGCTGGCAGTTATTAGTACCACCAGCGTGTACGCTGGCGGTACTCATGGTTTTAGTCCCGACCCGTATCGTACGGCTCCGCCGGCTCCGTAAGCTCCGCCGGCTCCGTGAGCTCCGCCGGNTTTCTCTCTCTCTCTCTCTCTCTCTCTCTCTCTCTCTCTCTCTCTCTCTCTCACACACACACACACACACACACACACACACACACAAGGATCAACTGCTTTAGTTGTGAGACATAGTTTTTTATTATACATTTAATGTTACCTACCTTTGCTTATCTATGGTTTCAATTATTTCAGAGTGATATAGCTTCTAATATGATATCTGTTGAAATATGTGTAACAATTGTGTGTCACATAACCTTAGTTCTTCAAACCAAACATTGGAGGCAGGATACTTCCAGTCTCCCACTTACTCCCATCCCCCACCCCATTCCATACTCCACTCCATCCCCCCCCCCGGATCTGTCATTGTACAGTATGAGAATGAGGGTTTTGTCCCATGTGAATGGAATAGATTTTTTTTTTTTTAGCAGATGCACATTTGTATTAAAATACAATAAATTAGTGGAATTTCGTGATAGGTGTTGTTTCTTATTTGTTGGTAAATAACTGAGTTTGTCTTGCCCACTTGTCAGGCTTCGCTGACTGATATTTTTTTCTTGCTACTTTTTTTTACTGAGCTATACCTGTATCATTTGCTGTTGACTTCAGCTACATTGTATTTCATTAAACATTTATAAGTTTAATTAATATATCATATTTAAAAACAAGGAACAGACATCCATGTGTGTGAAAGCTTACACACACACACACACACCTGTATGCCCTCGAAAAAAGATATAAATGCTGGCAGTAATTTTATTTTTGGTGACGGTTAAGAAAAAGATATATTCTCTGGGTTTATTAGCATTTTATACCTTGAATATTATTATTATTATTATTATTATTATTATTATTATTATTATTATTATTATTATTCCAGGTTTTGAAGAGGTGTATGAGGGACCAGACAGAGAACACACCTGTGACAACCTGCATCCAGGACACGTATACAGGCTGAGGACGGCCGCGGTGAATGCTGGCGGGAGGAGCCCAGTAAGTGAACCTTTTTCATTTCAGGGTTGCCTGCTCTGTTTATGGACAGAAATATTGTTGATATCTGAAACAAGCAATTGCTTTTTCTATAAAATGAGCAAAAATTGGACAACTTTTCATGATTACCGGTTGAAGCAGACATCTCATAGTTAAAAACAATTTTTGACATTTATATATATATTTTGTGGAAGTCACTGTTGTATTGAGTTGGCTATTATGCCTGAATCATTTCTATATTCCAGTGGTCAGAGATGTCCAGTGTGACCACCCAGGCTGTGGCTCCAGGACTGTGCCAGGCTCCCAAATTACAAGGAAAACCAAAGGCTACATATCTACATTTACGTTGGGGTGAGTAGTTATAGTGTGTCAGAATGCTGCTGGGTGGGAGACTGTGTTAGATGTGACGGTGTGCTATGTGCGACAGTATGATAGCTGTGGCAGTTTGCTGGGTGTGATTTTCTGTTGAGTTGGTCAAAATGGTGGATGTGATATTGTAACAGCTGTGACAGTGTGTTAGATTTTACCTTTTGGTAAATGTATTGGGTCATACCTTACACAACATGTTTGATTTGCTAGGCCTGACAATATGTTGGGTGTGACAGTGTGTTAGATATATGCAGCATAATTTGTATGAAATTGTGTGTCAGATATAATCATGTCAATGTACAGCATACGAGTGTGAGGCTGTTTTTCTCTCAGCATATCCGGACTATGATGGTGGTGCTGAAGTGATAGAGTATGAAGTTCAGATGATCCAGCCAGACAACAGTATACGGGAAGTGTACAAAGGTCACGACCTCGACTGCATGGTGGCAGGATTACTGCCTGGCCGACCTTATTTGTATCAAGTACGGGCGACAAATAAAGCAGGGGTAAGTGCTGTTTTTTTTTTTTTTAATGTTTACACAGGGACTTGTTTGAAAATTTGATTTGTATGGACCAGAACAGAAACTTTTTTAAATGGAACGTATACATTTCNCACACACACACACACACACACACACACACACACACACACACACACATTACTCCAGAAACCTATGTTAAACAGTTCTACACCTTACTGACCTCACAGAAGATGGTGCCCAATGACCTACATTTACTTTAACTAAGCTGTCAATAACTTATGTTTTAATGCCCTTGCAGACTGGGCCTTGGTCAGATCCCCTAGAGGTGGTAAGTGGTCCTGGTGCGCCCGATGCCCCCAAGACGCCGACGGCAGTGTGCCGGTCTCCGCAGAGTGCAATAGTCAGCTGGGAGGAGCCCGTCAACAATGGTGCTACTATAACAGAGTACAGGCTGGAGTGGCAGCAGAAACCTGAGGCAGACTTTACACAGGTGAACATTATACTGGGATGACACCCTGGATGATAGTAAGGATAATTATGTGAATAATTATGCTAAAATTGGTGATGTTAATAAGTGTTGATAATTTGTGGATATTTTGTATTCCAGTTATACAATGGGTCAGCATTAAATTATGAGGTGCGTGGTCTTTCACCAGCGACATTGTACAGTTTCCGTGTACAGGTGAGTCAGTACATGTAATTTGCTGAAGATTCTGCATTGCTCTACATAGTAAAGTTGGGGACCAACAGCCATATTATAAGTCACTGTTTATGGTAAAGCTGTAGGTTAAATGTGGTTTTGGTAGAGTGGCACAGGTTAAGTTTGAAGGCACAGGTAGAAGGAAAGAAAACGACGTATCCACATCAAATGATTACATTTTAGGTGTTTTAGCATTATTAAGGTTTATATTGAGATAGATAAGTGGCTTTGCAGTATATGTAGACATAGAACATATGACTTTGGGACATTTTCAAACACATTTACTATATACTAATAATTTTTAATAAAACATAATTTTTGGACTTTTTCCAAAGCATTTAATATATACCTTTAATTGCTTATAATTATCGTGAATTGTTTCACTTTGCAGGCCTCTAATGCAGCAGGCACGGGGCCATTTAGCCCCCAGGGAGCCTGCATGACACCTTCATCTAGTCCAAGTGCTGTCGTGTCCATACGTGCAACGAGTACAGCGGAAACGATAACCTTGTCATGGAAAGAGCCGTGTTGTAATGGCAGCGAGATTCTGTCATACAACATTGATCTGGGAGAGAAGCAACACATGGTCACAGTGGAGAATGTCTTGGAGCACACAGTACACAACCTGATGCCAGAAACACTGTACAAGTAAGCCTCTTGGATTTTGGGATTGTGTTAACGCGCATGATACATTGTTGTGTTTATGTTGGTGATTTGGTTACTTTGATTGTGGTTTTGTTGATACACATGCTTTGAGTTAAATATTTTGTTACCTCGTATCATGACTATTCTTTGGGCATTTTTTTTTATTTTGCATATTTTGAAATAGCACATGCTTTAATTGTGACACCAAACTGTTTCATTGCTATTTCTAAACAGTAGAATTAAGGTGACATGCAGATACAAATGGTCAAATGTCGTAGCTTTATAATATTAAATGAAAGTATATGGTTAAAGAATGTTTGTATTTCAAAAAAATGATCCAAGTTGTGGCTATGTCATTATGCAGTGTGGGTGGCTCCATCTTTTAACCTGTACGTGTACATTTAGGGTGCGAGTCCAAGCAGTCAATTCTATAGGCGTAGGACCATTCAGTCAGGTTGTCAAGGTGATAACACGTGCATTACCACCTACTCCACCCCGGCTGGAATGTGTGAACTGTGGGCCAAACAGTCTGAAACTGAAGTGGGGCGATGGGAAAAACCTTGATCTTATCCAGTATTCCTTAGAGATGGCTAGAGATGGCGGAAGGTAAGAAAATGATGGATTTTGTCCCAGGGTTTGAATTGTTTACTTAAGAGTTAGTTGACACAGGAGAAAAACTGGACATTTCTGTTTACAGCATTTATGAAACAAACAAGAATAATCATTTTTTATGATTCTGTGAGTGAGTAAATAATGATGGTTCATGTGCATTCAAAACATAATCAGTTAAAAACTATTACCTATTTAACCTAAAGTGGTTTAGTAATGGTTCACATACACAGACCAAATGCCAGCTAGTTGGAACTGATCCTCGTGTCACTGTTTTCATCCTCAGTTTCTACCCAGCATACAAAGGTACCAGTCACAGCTACAAAGTGAGCCGGCTCTCAGAGCTGACCTCCTACAGGTTTAGGTTGTATGCCAGCAATGAGGCAGGGGATGGCCCCTACTCACAGGTGTACACTTTTACCACCACCAAGGCCCCGCCTCCAGCTGTCAGAGGTAAGAGGGGGATGCCACTATGATATATGCCACTGTGATGTGTGTGTGTGTGAAATTGCGTCATATGAAATCGCAATGTTGGTATTTTGTCATAGGTATTGTCATTTTTAAATAAATCATAAACAACAGTTAGTGGATTAATACATCCCTTACAGTTTTTAGATGCTTGGGGAAATTGGGTAGAAAAAACCTATGATATGTGAGAATTAATATATCCATTCTCTTTGTCAGCTCCCTCTGTCCTGGACCTGAGTTTGGACTCGTGTCGTGTGGAGTGGCACCCCTGTAAACCACTGGGAGGGGACAGCATATCTTATATACTACAGCTGCAGACACCATATGCCAAAGACCAAGAATACAAACAGGTGACAAGTGCCAGTTGTGCTTTACCCTTGTTCTGACCTCCCTAGATACTAGTTATTTATTTATTTATTTATTTATTTATTTACATTGATTGTAGACTACTAAACGTGGATAGTCTACTATGTTCATTCCACTTTCTGATTTGGTCTCAGAGCAATCCAGAATGAGTGACCAACAGTTAATGAGTTGACTTGTAAGTGGATTATAGAAAAGTATTAGGGTAAAAAAAATATCACCGAACTCAGTCTCACCTAACGCAATTGTACATAACACAATCTCACCCACAAGGGTCTCACCCAACACAATTTTGCTAATATGACCTAGCAACCCCTATATAACCTCACTTGTTTCCTTCCAGATCTACCATGGTGCTGAAACATCATGTCGCCTGACCTCTCTCTCCGCCAAGACAGAGTACCAAGTTCGTGTGTGTGCAGTTCGTGAGTGCCAAGGGGAGGCAGGTCCCCTCCAGGGGGCCTTCAGTCCGGGGATTTTGTTCTCAACCCTCAGTCCAGAACCTGTCAGCAAAGTTGCCTCAAAAGCGTCGACGGAAAAGAAAGCATTGGTCAGCTTGGAGAACAGGGAATTAACTGACCATCAGAAAGCCATGATTATACTGTTTGGCTTTGCTGTGTTTGCCATAATCATTGCCATTATAGTACATAGGATTTTCATGTACTACAAACAGTAGTGGTGCAGGTGAAATCCAGGCGTTGTCCCAGAGAGGAGTAGAAGCCAACGACATGGTCCATCTGGACTGAGCAGTGCACAGTAAAACAAAGTGATGGTATCAAAGCCACAGGTGGCCTCTGGGTTTTTTTTTTTTTTTTCCAGGATAGATTGGCAGGACTTTTGTGAATGGAGGAAAAATTCAGTGTCTCATGTGAAGAAAAAAAAACAACAAAAAAGGTTCATTGTACTTGTTATTAGGTCAGGCAGACCTGCCTTTACTGAGGTTAATGTTGTCAATTTCTAATCAAGATTTCAAGATTTTATCTGTTATCTTTTTTTGCTGCAAGATACAAAACAACCTTTTTTTATTTTATTTTCTTGATTTGCCTAGTCCATTTATTAAGTTGATGGCTGGTATATGGTATAGATATTTAGGAAATATAGCACTGTTGGATGTGGATATGTATGCTTCCTGGTGCAAAGTCATAATATTTTATTTTTAGTTGCCATAGGGCATATCTTCTGCTTTTAGGGAGACAGTGCTTGAAATGGACTGGGAAAACCAGCACAAATGTTCCACTACAAAATCTGCCATCTGTGTAACAAGTAATGAGTGAGAGAAACAAATAAAAAAAATTGGGAAATAATGAAGCACAAGTGCCATATACAGCTTTTATGATGCCTGAAGCAGAGTGTAAGGTCGCTGTTGATGTATTTTCATTCTTTCAGGTGGTTAGGACTTATACTTTGTCTTGACATTAGGATATTTATTTTGTCTAAATGATAACTCTTGCAGTTTGATGTGCACCAAGGTGCTGCCACCTACAGTTATGGTATAAGTTCAGTGCTGCCCCATTTAAGAAGTAAATTCTGAATATTGCTGCCCCAATGTGAAGGATCTAAGGGTACTAAGGCGCCCCCTATTGTGAAAGGAAGCTGTACAGTTGTGACCCTATTTATACATATGAGTTTAGAAAGTGTTTTCTTATTGATATTGGATCTATTTTAGTTGGGTCATTGGCTGTTGGAACCGCTCAGTAATATTTTCAACAATCCAAAGGACGGCATTGCTAACTAAAGCAGCAGCCACAGTTGTCTGCTGACAAAATGTTTAATTGAAGTCTAGCATGAAAAACCAACTGCCCAGCACAAGTATTGACCAAATTAAACATTAAAGGTATGAAGTGGATGAAAAATTGAAAAATGTGGGGGAGATGTTTGAGGAGGAGGGGGAAAAAAAGGTGTGGGCGTGATAAGCCTTGAAAGGGGGGGGGATATTGTCTTAATGTGTGAAAATTTTACTGAATTGTGCATCTCCCAAGCTGTTGGCTTCTGCCATCTGGTGCTGTATGGTCACGGGCTCTTAAAGGATACCAGATATATTTAAGCACAAACAAGAGGGATCAGTTTCCGTATTGACTTTATTTTAAATCATAGTATCTTGAATGTGATGTTATTAATGATGATTATGCCCTGCAGCAAAATGGAGGGAAGTAAAAACAATTATAATGCAATATTTGATGAAGGTGCATGCCTATGGTCAGGAAGGGGGTAGATTATAAGCCACCCAGATGTACTGCATTTCATGTATTTACGTACGCCATAGATGAATATATTCTTATTCTTATTAATTGAGAGAGTATTAACACTGACTGGGGTACTACTGAGAGTCCCCGACTTCCATAATGTTGAGTAAACTGTGCCGTGGATCTGTTCATTGGAAGGGTTGGGACTCACAGCAATGCTTCTGTACAGTGGCAACCCCTATTTGTTCAATTTATTTTACGCCATAGATTATCTATGTTAATCAAGAGTAATACTATCAGAGGCAATTTTATTTTATGTATTGTATCTTACACTATTATTAATATTATATAAGTATGATAATTATAACATTGTATCTAATCCTGTATTAGTTGATGTAGCTGTTCAAAACCAGTCAAAGTGTGCAAGTTGTTAGTCTTTATTTTCTGAAAATGGAAATATTTAATTTTGTCTTTTATGTTTATTGTGTTGAAAAGGGAAGTGGATTTACCTAAGGTACTGGTGAGTTTCTTAGATGGACTTATTTTGTTGTTTAAAAATAGGAAGAATATTTTATTATGTGTAGAGGGCAATCCTATTCATTAGGACAGCGTCTAAAGAATTACGGCTCTTTTTCAAAATGGTGCTAGGTTGGTATTGATTCTATTGTGGGTTGCCATGAGAACTGTTACCTTGACCACATCAAGTGGACAGTTTTGTGACCACATCAGTGTATTTTTTCGACAGGAGGAATGTAAGATTTAAAACCAAATGTAGGTACCTCACATCCAGTATGATATCATTATTATATATTCAGTATACCATGTGTTATCATCATTTTAATTCTTACTTAACTGAGAGCGCATGAAACTGCTACATTAGATTATATTAAACATTTATGGTTACAAATGAAGCAAAAACTTAGTGATTTGAATCACAAAAAAGGTGCAATTTTATTTGCTTGGTATAGGCAACTTAATGTAGTGTGTCGTATCATAATTATTAATCATTCCACAATTTGTAGGTCAGTACGGGGGATTGGGTTGAAGTAAGATAGTGTGGTTTCACATTTGACATTCACTTTCGCTTTTGACTTTCACTTTAGTCTCTCACTTTTTCTGCTGTTTTCCAAAATGTGCAAGCCAAGTTATACTTTGCACAGTCTATTTCTGTCCCTTTAGTTGTCCTTCTTATGTAAATTTCTTCCTAAATGCAGCGCATCAAATGTATTTTTGTGTTGCCATCTGTTAAAGTGCACGGTGGCAGCCCCAGTGAGATGGGTATAGATTTTTTTCTCTCTCTCTCTCTCTCCTCAAGAAAGAACCAAAATAACAGGGTAGGACCTGTGTCAGTGCCATTTGTCTTTCATATATATACATAACACTGGGTCAGACAGTACACTGTATTGTACGCTGGAAGAGAAGTCTTTCAAATATCTGCAGTTGGACCCAATGTGCAAGTTCTGTTTGAAGTAAGCAGCTAGTCAGGATTAAATAAATAAACAATTGTTGGCACATGAACACTTAATGTTTCTGAATTGTGTATCTGTAGGCCTATCAGTATTGTGTTAGAATTAAGACTAAACCCCTATTCCAGTGTATTTATTATTATACGAGATACGTTGTTGTCACTGCTTTTGAAGGTTCTCTTAGCAACAACTGTTTGCAACTAGTCTAATGAGGCAGTGGTCTCTTTTGACTGCAGCTGTATCACTTGTGGATTTTCTAAGCCTGTCTTTCTGAATGAAAGCATGCTGCTGCACTCGAAAGGTTCTTCTCCAGTGAAACACAAATTATATATCAGTTCAATTAATATACCTATTTTAAGGTGTATTATTTAAGTTGGATCACTTTACTACTGCTGTTTAAGGCACTGTGTTATCTTATCATTTCTAGATGAATTATTTTATAATTATTATATTGCAGGAAATTGGCATTTTACTGTTAATTGATGGCTTATGCTTTATTCTTCCTTTGGTGAGTTTGACAAAGCATTTGATATTGTATGTTTGACACCTAGTTCTACAGGTATCTTTGGACTGTATGAGAACTGTATAGAATACCATATGTAAGACTTACACAGAACTGTACAGTGATCTGTGTCAGTGTTATAAAAGAGAAGTATGCTTATTATAGCTTTCCACATACAGTTAACACGAGGTCAATTTGGTATCTGTGTGGGTGGCGGATATGGTATTACATATGTTCACTGCAGAAAGTGTTGTTTTCAGATATTGATCGAGTTGTAAGAGAGTGTTATATGAACTATTGTATGTATGTTCTACATGAATTTTTCGCTGCTATATATGGATCTATATGTAAACAAGTTCTCCCTGTGTTAAGAAAATAACCACTATCACACTATTGGGTGTAGAAAGAAAATTGTTTAAGATCTATTTATGCTGTGATGGTCGACCACTTCTGAGAAAAAAAAACTATTATATATTCTATCAATAAAATATTGCAGAGAACGAAAGTATGCGGTGTTATTTTTGACAGCCATTTGTATCTTGATGTTCAACATTTCTTCCTAAAAGTGAATAGATGGTTAAGGTCGTAGTAGGTTGCTGCACAGGAAGTCACATCGGGTTTGCACCTCTCCAGTAGTCTCCGCCCCCCCCCCCCCCC